AATTCAGCTTACAAGAATTCTAACATTCATTAGGCACAAATCCTTCAGTGCAAATGCCAAACACAGTCTTCTTTTATACAAAAATGCCATATCATGCAGTATTCTAACACAATTAAACCTTGTCCCTGATACCATAATCTTCATTCTCAGTAAAGAATTAAAGGAATAATTAAAGAAATCATTAAAACACCTGTGTAATTTAAAAAGTAAATACAGTGGCACAATACCTTTTGTTTAAAAAAACAAAACTGTAAAATTCTCCAGGCATGAAAACAAATCCCTGTTGAAAATTAACTGGAATTCAGGTTTATCCACCACTTAGGCACCTTCTGCATTGTTCASCCTGCAGGTATGTATTAATTCAAGGATCACTTCAGGATTTAGGATTGCAAACTGGAAAAAAATCCCTCCCCTACTACTTATATATTGAACACTATGTATTGCTCCTTCATGACCACTAACACAAAAGTAATTAYATATGAAAATCTAGCTACCTAACAAGATCCAAAGTTGTTTACTAAGGTAACAATCCCATAGTAATATGTGATAAACACACAAAGCTGATGCCCTTTGGCTTCAGCCACTTGTWCAAACTTTAATCTGCATGAAAAATATGCCAAAACCGAGCTCCAAGTACTACRGACTGCCCCTGCTATTTGTTCCAATGGTATCCACAGAACATATATTTAGTYGTATGTCCAGTTCATGCTCTAAAATTATTACAAATGCTAAGAAGTTCTATGCAAATAAAGGCAGCCAGGGGAATGAGAAAACAAACCAAAGATGAAATAGAGGCTAGACAGGAATAATTTAGATGGGAAAGCAAAGATATTTAATCTTAAAAGAGCCACATGCATTAGGAATCTCAACTGACTCCAACTAAAGTCCTCTGGGAGTATTTGAAAAACAGGAAAGCAAAACCACCTACAAATGTAACAGGCATGACAATGCCAAACTTTTCACTCATGTTTTATGTCGAAAAATTAGAATTTCTCTAATAGAAAAATACAAACAAATTTTGGAAAAAGTGAGCTTTAATTATAAACTCTGCTAGTAGGACCTTTTGGACAGTAGGAAAGACAGACCYGGATTTTTAAGCAGGGAGAAGTTACTGTTTGGACTAACTACAAACAAAGAGATCACTGAAGAGTATTTCATATTCTTGACACAGCAGAATTTGCTATTATGATTAATTAACTAATCAACCAATATTACAAACAACCAGACTTCCACAGAAAGTCATCACAGGAAATCAAATATGCTCCTGCTAATGAATTTATCAGATCACAGTATATTCACGGGATTGTATTATTTAATCCTTTAAGGAATTCCAAATAGGTTAGTATACAGATGGCTAGATTAACATGTCAACAGGAACATAAACACTGCAACACCACCATTATATAAAGCTTTTATTAAATTAGGGTACGAAACATTAATTTTATTCACAAGGTCAAAGATCACAATGCTCTTAGTCCTAAATGACAACTGCATCTATAGACAAACAAACAAAATATACAGACCATTAAATTTGTACCTGAGAGAACTGGAACATGTTTTATTTTATTTAGAAATAAAATTGCAGTGCAACCTGAATTCGGGAATAAACCTAAAGTTTTTGTTTTCTTTTTGATGTAACATGCTCAACAAAAATTACATTAAAACTAGATGAAAGTCATACATACTGTTTCATACTAGCTGCCAAGTTTAGCATGACTAAGTGTAGAAACAAACATTTTTCTAGTTGCAGCACTATCTCTATTGAATTTATTGCTGTTCTGAATCTAAAATACTGACAATGACACTGTAAATATATTACAAGTCATAATGTGTACTAAAAGGAAGGTTAAAGCATACATGCAGCTACTAATTTGAATAACAGGTTACCATAATAAGCCCGGAATGTTCTGATCTGGATCTTTCATCTAAAGATTCAAAGTAACATCAATGGGTGCAAACAGYAGAAAATAATGCATTTCCATTTCCAAAGGAAGTTTTCTTCAAAAAAGGCAAGAGGCAGACACAAATAGCACTTAGGCTTTGCCTGAATTTTGTTCCATTGAGCAAAGACTCTCATGCTACAACTAAAAGAACCAATAATTTARTATTCTGTAAGTCTTGAGAATAAACAAAATCCTAAGAAAACTTCTTATGAAATACATGCAGCATGTACATACCTACAAAATTGCTGGTTTAAAATGCTGGATATCACATTCTGATAGTTAACTGGAGTCAGGGAGCACAACAATTTAATTGCTTGCTCCCCTACAAATTTGGTCCTATCAAAAACTACACATGTACCACCACAACCAGAACTGTCAAAACCTGAGGTCCTTGAGGCTGTTAAAAACTAAAGGCATTTCTTTTGTAATACTGTGATCACCAAAGATAGAAACAGAATAATGACATTGACTAGAAACATCAATTACAAGACTGGCAATTTAATAACATACCTTTATCAGAAAATCTAACCTTAAGAACATTTAATAAAACAGTTGTAATATAAACTGAGGTTCCTGCTCTCCAAACTATATATCATATAGCAAAAGTAAATTACTTTACAAAATAATAATTCACTGTTCTTCCCAAAGAATTGTATTTTCAACATCAGAGTAATATTTCAAGAATTCTAATGGTGTTTACAGAATTTTGCACATGCAGTATCTATATAGTAAAGTTCAAGACCTTCCAAAAGTTAAAAATGTTAAACTGTCAGTGAAAATTATGCAAAAATTAAGGTATTCAGTGCAACATTTTAAAAGTTCACATACAAATTTCTACCCATCAGCAAGAACTCTAGTATGTCAATTAAAAAAAAAAAAATTAAAAAAAAACAATTCTGGATCATAAATAGGTCCTATATAATTTTCTTTTAATATAATGCAATATCAATACCGATGCAGTTTTTTCTCATTAGTCCCTGGTAAAAGCTTTTCTTTGGTTAGCTTTTACAATATCATCAGGAGATGCTGATTTGAAGTCAAATGGTGTTATGGCCATTGTAGGACCAGTTTCCTTGGGTTTTACACCTTGTACTTGTCTACTGTATAGAAAAGTTTTATGTATCCCAACTGTGCGCCGCTTATATCCTTTTGGAGGATAACGTAGGCACAAGGTTAGAGCAAAAGCTGAAGGTCTTGCATGCAGCGCCTTTATCCATGAAAGGGACAAATCCAGCCTCTTAAGACCATGCCCYTTTTTGGGTTTTCTGTTTGTTTTGGCAAAACCACAACATTTTCCTTGTTTTTCTTTTACAAGTTTAGTTTCAGGACTTAAGATACTTGACTGTGCTACCACACTTTTTTCTGTAGATATATCTGCATTTTTTACAAGGACACTTAAATCAATGTTGGTTCCTTGGGAGGGCCTCAATTCAATTACATTGCTCATGGGCAAGTCCATCCTTTGTTCAGTTTTATCTATTTCAATGGTCTCTGCTATTAAATCTGAGAGTGATAAATTCTCAACCTCCTTTACTGGAGAAACTTTAGAAAGGGCTAGAGAAGACAAAGATCCTGTTAGCTCTGGCATCCCACCGGAAGTTTGCGGYTGATTTACTAGTTGTGATAATGAAGAGGTTCCCAATTTACTATCAGTGAGACTTGCTGTTGATTGGGTGTAAAGATCAGCCAAAGAGTAACAGTGGCTAGCACTGCTTTCCTGGCGCTCCTGAAGCAAGTCAGCCAGTGATGTACTTCCAGATCCTAACATTGGCAAAGCAGCCATGTCTGAAGAGGGGCTTTCTTGTTTTCTACTTTGCACAAGTGAAGGAAAGTTTTCAAGAAGTTCATTCTTTTTATTTACAGTATGACTGACTTCATTATCAAGAGCCAAGTTTCCTAAAGCACTTGTTAAACATGGAGGACCATAAAAATTTGCATTACTATTGCTATCAAAAGTATTTGAGGAAACAAGAGGAATGCTCTGTTCAGAACTCAGAGAATCACAAACCATATTCTGCATCAAGGATTTCAAGTCCTGTGTTTCCTGGCATTTCAATGGGTTACTTCCTATGTTAAAGTAAACATCTTCAGTGTCAGGAACCAAACTTACTGCATTAGCACTTTCTGGTAGTTGGTTCTCTGCCTGTTTATTCACAGGTTCACATAATGATCCTTCACACAAACCATCACTGAACGCAGATGACAGAACAAGCGAAGAGGATTTCAATCCTTTCCTTTCACATGAAGGTATATTGGATTTTTCAGAATTTGTAGTTAAAGAATAAAGAGCTGTCAAGTTTCCAAACCCAGGTTGTTTGGTGCTGTCAGCAAAACTGTCAACTGCACAAGAGAAACTATCTGTATCAATACATGTTTCTGGACAACAATGTAAGTCTCCTTACCTTACGATAGCCAATAATTTTCAGATGGAAGTCCAGGCACAACGAAATATCCCATTTTTTAAAAGGTAACAGCAGCAACCAAAGAAAAAAATCAAGAAACATGAAAAGGCATTTAATTACTAAGTGTTATCCAAAGGTAAGAAATGTTCTACAATTAAATCACAGGTATCTACTGAAATACAAAAAAAAAAACCTTTAAGACTAGGCAGAGAATGCCAGACTACAACTTTTTTAAGTACAAATCAAAATAAGGAAGTTACTGTCTAGACACTACCAAAAAAGGGAGGTATTGGGGATGGGAGATGTCAGTTCATCAAACAAATAACAGAAACACTAAAAATATAAAGATGCTTTCCAAATTTAATGAYATGCATTAATTCAGTTAAGTGACATATTATAAATCAGGAATCCATCATAAACTGCAGATGGTTGCAGCTTGGATTTAAACGGACACTAAGGTGTTATTTTGACTTCTAGCTAAAGAAAAGCTGTTTCTTTTAAATGTTTTAGAACACACATATAGTAAGTCAGTCTTCCTTAATTTTCCAGGAAATGACTACTGCAATAATAAGCGTCTTCACAGTTCGTAAAGCCAAACTTAAATCACAGATAGAAATGAATCACCTTTAATGTAAACAATTAAATACAAGTATACCTTTTGTAGTCTTTCCTAAAGTCCCAGCATCCTTATTCTTGGTCTTCACATTTTGCTTACTGCCTTGTGAAAGCACAAGATCCAAAGCCTTTTGTACATCAAATTTAGTATCCAGTACTGCTTGCACCATTGTTTGTTCTGGTATGGACTCTGCCAAAACTTCTCTCATTTGATCAAGGCATGAATTAAGACGGGCTGAAAGAAACATATTACTCTTACAAGCTGCCCAAAAATATGTCTTCAATTGCCTAACCACTAGCACCACACTTCTGATTAGTGAACAGAAGAGAAAAATATTACAGTAAGAGTTAAAACCCATAGAAATTAATTTCAATCTCACTTACTGCCCTGACAGACTTTGCTCCCGCACCCTGAAGTGTATTTGCAATATTTCAGATATTGCAATAAGGAACATATCACTGACTACTATTTTTATTAATCCAGACAGTACTGAAATATTTTGATGCTGTAAAATAACTATCTTCACTGCAGAAAAGAAATACAAATAATCATGTTAAAATTATTCCAAGTAAATTAACAAGTCAATACAGAATCCCACTGAACAGCACAGACACTACCAAAGTGTTTATAGATGCTACAAGTAACACCCGAAGTAAAATAGCATTTTCAGGGWCCTCAGGCCTAGCAACTGAAAACCCTGGATCAATATGCCAGGTTTCAAACTACCCGTAATCTTAACCTTTCCTAAAACTGCAATATATTTGCTGATAAAAATCAATTTTCTTTGCAGCATACTTCTGCAACCACCGTAAGCCTTTACTAACATGTTGTACAACAARAGACTGAAAATTCACCAGGTTTCCACTCACTGGAAGACATCCAAACACTAAAGGGCAGAAGAAAATCTTCATGAATATCCCAGTTTCTGCCAGTTCRGATTTAAAAAACAAGAACTGAAGAACAGGAAGACAACTACATATTTTGACTYGTACACTTCCTGGAAGATGTTTAAAGAAGTTTGCTTAAGGGAATTCAACACCACAGAATTCCAACACCAATGAGGTTACACATATTAGCACCCTCTACCTGTAATTCAAGTAGCAAGTGAATCTTCCCCAGACATTTGCCCTGCAAAACAGGAATGGGCAGAGCACCGCACAATGTGCTGGGTGCCATTTACTATCTAGCACTTAACAAGAACAACCTTGTGAAACTCCTTGCAGCCAAACTGGCTACATCAATAATTATGTATTAATGGCCAACACTACATACTGTATCAAACATAACAGGTCTTTACTGATGTTTCCACAGTAGAAATGGATTATTTTGAAGTTTATACTGATGTTTCCACAGTAGAAATGGATTCTTTTGAAGGTTATCTTCCCCCTTTTCTTTAGTCCAAAACGTTACTTTTTCCTTCTTGCTCCGATACCAATCCTTAACTGATTGAGTCTGTCAAAAGCATTCTGCAAAGCCATAGCACTGTATTGTCTAGATCATCKGTACCATTACAGTGGCTCATTCATTCTTTCAAATTGCCTCCTAAAGCATTATTTCCTCTGTAAAAATCTGTACATTATTCCCACATATATAATATTTAACCATATCTCTAAGCATTAGCTTAACTTCTACCAATGTACTTGAGRTAGAACAGTAAATTAGAAAAAAAATTGATTCCAAATTTTCTACAACTTTTTTTAAAGACCAAATTTCAACACACTTTAGTCTGATCTTATCAACATTTTAAAAATAACCCTGATTATTTCCAAAACAGTCTAAYGCAAAAAGTCTCATGCATTCAAAACAGGATAAGAAAAGATCGTACAGAATATTGGCTACTCTTTCAAGGAAATGCGAGACTTTGAAAACCTCTCAAATACTGCTAATTGCTATAATTTAGAACACAAAACAAGAAAAAAATCATTCTATAAATACTCAGTTTATAATATTCAAGAGTCAAGACTGAGCTGTCGGTATAGCTGTTCTAATATCTCCACATCACATGAAATCTCATTATTTCTTTACACTAAGAAACTAAGACCACATTTCAATGTATGCAACCAAGTTACARCAAAAGGTAGTGACTAACTTGAAGAATGACCTCTGAAAGTAAGTTCCTGAAGAGTATTGTTTTAYAACAAGATTCCAGAATTGGTAGCAGTGTCACTCAAGTAATAAACATTAATTTAAGGCCATTCTAATAAATCCTTACTTCATACAAAAGATTACTCTGATAGTTGTTTGTTTTCTATAATTACCTCTATCAACTTCAGTCAACTGATGAGTGGATGTAAAACAATCAGCAGCAGCATCGGTACCTTCATAGCCATATTCTTCTTCTAAYGGCTCAACAAGTGTGGCTGGTTTGTCTCGTCTGGAGTAAATAAATTGAGCTGCTGCATTAGGTAAAAAACAAAGTATTAAAAAAAAATTCAAATGTTTTTTCCTCCTTTAAAGGCAAAACAYAACTAAAGGTAGAGTAAGTTAGGATGCCGAACTGTTACAGTGTTTTCAAGGGGGTGGTGAGACACTAGTGTATAATAACTGCTACCTGAGACTGCACAGAGCACACAACAACTCATGCTAGAATAGAAATAAGTTGCCGCCACAGTAAAACTACAGGCTGGGCAATATCTTTGTATCCATGAAATGCAATAATTCTGCAAAGTTCAGCATTAGAAAAAAGATTATACTTAAGGTTTGATAAACAATATTTTCTATACAAATCTATGGCCTATTGTCTTCAGAACCTTAACCAACTTTTAAACTCAGTTTCAAYTGTAAAAAGTTAGCAAGAAATTAACATTGCTTTTATAGGCTGTCACTGTCAGATTACTGGTAAGAATTTAATGGAGTTGAACACATCCTTTMTATCTTGGAATTTTCTTAGAAATACAGCCCATGAGTAAAAATCCATATTCACACAAAACTTTAAACAAGTGCATGATTTCACTGTGATTTAGCAAAACATTAAGGCATGTACAGATAAAACTCKTTGCTGAACAAGTACCACAGTCATTATACACTCTCAGAAATGTGCAAAGCATAATGTAAACAAATTGCTTTATGCTACATAATATGCTCCTCAGGTCTGAAATCCATACTGAAAGCAGGTGCATATCCAGAAGGAGTACGGCCCTCGCACTGTTTCCCAAATGTATAAATACCATTTCATATTCAATCACCGTAACTGAAGCAAGTATTAAGACTGCTATACAGTTTAGATCAGATTATTTGACAATTGAAGCTTATATACACACAGAGTTCTTAGGAAAATTACTGTGCACAGGCAGGAACTAATTTTGCCATTTATCAGTSTATACCTGAGCAAAAAGTACACATTGCATATTTTCATCACTATAATCCACAGCATACGAGAGAAACAGAGTTTTAAAGACCTAATTATCACAAGTTCCTCTGGCCAGAYGCCAAACACCACAGCGCATTAAATCCAGGCCCCCCACAGTGGATTAAATCCAGACCAGTTACCTGCAGTAGCACACCTTCATGTCAACACTAGCTGTACTATTTCCAGGGCATATTCAGCTCTAAAAACACTGCCACCAAATCTGGGGAAACCCTAAATTGATAATCTTGCCAGAGCCTTGACTAGAGAACAAACTAATGATTCTACAGCTAGGTTGAATTCAGCTGGGCTAAGCCACTCCAATTATGCCTTACCTAAGCACACAGACATCAATATTTTTTAAATCAACTTTGCAACATTACAAATGATGGAAGGCTGATTAGTTCGTGATCTTGCATGATAGGACCRGCACAACAAACCACAATAAGACTCCCTGCCCCACATTTATCCAAAGTTGTGTAAAAGACATAACTACCAGGTGTAGAATAACAACTGTTAAGCCCAGGTAGATCCTACTAACCATATGAAAAGATGCCAAATGTTTCAAGATTATCAACACATTCCCACAGACCAGATTTTTACATTACTAAGTACATGCTGATSACCTAAGCTAATACACAYRTAGGATTCAATATATGGCTAYTTGTCTAATGGGGTTTCCAAAAGTACAATGCCTAACACTACATAACTGACTGTGACAGGATTATGACCAGTAGGCACTTTTYAAAAGTGTCAATAGTTTTTAAATATTGTTTTAATCTGGAAATAAATATTGGAGTAGGTATCAATGAACAATACTTGAACGCAATTATTTGAACTGACCTGTTGAAGGAGAAATGCAATAATCATCTTCTACCGATTGGCCATATACATCATCATCTTCAAAGTCTATGAAGCAAAAACAAGATTAATTTACAGAATTTCTAAATTATATTATAGTTCGAAGCATAGGTTTTATGCATTTATACATTTCATGTATAAAGTTCTGGTAATCTACCTAGCTAAGAAGTAACCTTCTAAGTTATAATAATAGAATTTTATTACRATAATGTAATTCAACATTTAATACCTGATTCATTAGGCTGAAAATTTTCAATAGCTACAATACTTCACACCTCCTTCTTCAGCATCTCCTTTGTCCTCACAGACCAAATCCAACTTTCTACAATTCCACAAGTCTTTATGCATGGCACTTCTCAATATTTTTGCTTGACCTCTCAGTCTTTATCTCAAACAGACAGCTCAATTTTAACTCCAACAACTCAGGATCAGTATTTCTACTCCATTCCTAAGCATTTCTCAGTTTTCTTCTCTGTTTTATCCTCACACTCATCCACCTTTCAAATGAAGTTCAGCAAGGCAAAAACCCCAATTCACAATTAACTCTGAATATGCAAAATTGTTTCAGGCAAAAAGTATCTCATACAGTTACTTAAAGATAATACTCTTTCCTCATAAAAAAGGCACCAAGAATACAGAGTAAAAAGGCACCAAGAATACAGAGGAAATTATGCACCTCCTTTTCAAAAACTAATCCTAGTATTATGTCAATTAAAAAAAAAAAAGTGTGATTTACTCTAAGGAATAATGATATACATAATAAAAGTAACAAACTATCATTAAAGACAGTACTGCACTTGGSAGTTTCACAAGTAACATCTATTGTGTATTGCTTTAAAAGACTTACACACCACAGCATGCACTGACCATAAAATTAACTATTAAAAAAATTCATGAATTACAGAGAACAGAATAGAAGTTGCTCAAGTACTCCAGCTGTATTGACAACATACTTGCAGATGGAATACCACATTTGGTTACACAGTATCTCAGAAAGAAGAGGAAAAAATTGGAACAAGGTCAAATAATGACCAGAAGTCTTCCTATGAAAGGAAACAAAGAAATACTGTAAACATTCACTTTAGAAATGTGGCTCATATTTGGGCAACAAAGAATCATAAGTAGCACAAAAAGAACATATGGCATTACATAAGGAAGAAAGGAAGACACAAAGCCTACTTCATTTAGGCCATAAATGTTTCTGTTTGACTACAGAAGTACTACATGATACAAGAGCTGACAAGTAACCCCGCAGTCATGTTTCCAATGGCAATAGCAACTTAAAGACTACAGCAAATTACAATGTATCTCAGCAAATTCATGAAAAGAGATTCTAAGGAGTGTATGAACATGAAATTAATTCCATGGATTTGCCACTCAGCTTCACAGATGCCACAGACTCAGCAGAAATCAACATTTCAACCAATCTATAATGAAAAACTGTTTTTAGAGGATGAAAAAGTCAAGCAGTAAAATTCCCAATCCAGTCTCAGGTCTTGCCTATACTAGGTAAATTTACACTAGCAGAAACTGCAAGGTGGAAACACATAGACATCACAGTTCACATGAATTTACAACTTCCACAGAAGTTCCAAGATCACAGTGCAAAACCCAATTTGTGCTACAAAACCCCGTTTGTGTGTAACACATATACACCATGCAGTCTGTTCACTCAGCAGAAGACCAGAGGCAGGCTGGAGCTCTTCTTGCATTTTTTAATAATCTCACAAAGTTAGGCAACAAAATTGCTGCTCTCTTACCAAAGAGTTCTTAAAAACATCCGTATTAACTGAAGTGTGTCCCTTTCTTCAAAGCCCAAGCCAAGAAAAAAAAAGACTTTGGGGGGAAAAAAAGATTGTGATTTTTAGAGTCTGCCTATTCTAATGGGGTCAGGGCACAAAGAAAACTGCAGTACTGCAGGCRCAAGCCAAGAAGAATTTGATCATTCCACGCAAGTTTAAGTAAAAAGAGAGGTGTCTGAAAAGGAGGTTATTCCCTAAATGCGCAACTCCAGCTTTAAGACCTACGTTTCTTCTGCAAGTAACAGCTGTTGACTCCTATCTATTAACATCAGCCACAATTTGCTAGAGTTTGGCCTTGAACACCAACTTCTAAATTTTACAAGTCTAAAGACGGATGGGTGCAACTGTACTGAAGCTTATTTTCAAGTCAATGACACTCCTGAAGAGCAGAATCAACTTAGGCAGCTCAAGGCAATGCAAGCAGAACSTCGCTGTGGCTTGGACCGCGTACCAAGGCCACACTCTCCCCGTGTGGAAACTCCCAGGAGGCCCCRGCAGCAGCAAGAGGAGGTCCTGAACGGCAGAGCAGCCACGTGTGCCCGACCCTCGACTCAGGCGGGAAACGGACCGGGAATRGGGCGGGGAGAGGCCTCGCCCAGAGCCCCGTCCAACCCCCGCCGAGGGGAGGTGAGGGGGCGTATTTTCCCCTCCCACCAGCCCGACAGCCCCCCGGGCCCTCCCCTACCGCCGTGTGGGCCCCGCCACACCCTCCTGACCGCGGCCACGGGGACGGGTGGCCGGGCCGGTGGAAGGGGCGCGGGCCGGGGAGAGCGCGAAGGGACCGGCAGCTGGGGCGGGCCCTGCACCTCTGCCATCAGCGCCTGCTCGCCGTAACCACTACCTTCGTCGTAGTTATATCCTCGGACGTTCCTGTGCCGAGACATGACGGTGATGACGGCGGTGTCGGCCTCGTTCGCCCGCCCGCGGTGGCGTTGGCGCGGCGGGCCTAGGTCGCCATGTTGAGCTCCGGCGGCGCCTGACGGAAAGCCCCCTTGCGCACGCGCGCAGGGCACCGCTTCCGCTCTGGCGCGGGGCTGCGCATGCGCACAGGGGTCCCGCCCGGCTCGGGCGCTCCCTGGGGCGGGGGCGGCTCCGGGAGCGGCRCCGGGAGGGGCTCTGAGGGGCTGGGGGGAGCACCGACCCTGGGGACGGAACGATCCGGGAGCGACTGCAGGTGGCACACAGTGCTGAGGTGTAGATGTCATACTGGAAGCCAGGCAACCTTTGGACTCGATCTTAGAGACCTCTTCCAAGCTGAATAAACGTTGCTGCGATTCTGCAGGGTCTGCTAGCATAGAGTTTATCTGTGGTAGCTGYCTGTGTGGTAATGTAAGTGAATTACAAGGTAAAACTAGACAGGAAATGCCCGTTTTCTATCAATGATGGGTTTGATTCAGGCCAAACACGGGAAGTGTTACAAGCACACAAGCGTTTTAAAGCTTACTCAAAAACACTTGCATCGTTGGGGGCATTCTGGGTTAGYGTTAAATYACTAAGGRCATGTTCRTTTAAACACAYTTGAAATAACATGTCTGTGATTTGYGCACCTCCACGGGAACAGGGTTTGAATGGTTTTGAAATTAAGTACAAGGCCTTTTTCAATTCTGGATCTGAAACAGCTCCAACTGACCTGGCTTGTGGATAAGAAGAAGCAAAATGTCAAAGCATTAGGCTCCAYGAAGCCTTGATCTGATTTCACTGGCACATTACTGTGGCACCATGTAATGCCAAGTTTCAGTCTGCAGGAGCAGTCGCACTGTGAAGGGACCAGATAATCTAGGAATGTCCCTACAGCTGCCCCCGTTTGCTAGGTCAGAGAGAACAGGGCAYGCAGACAAGACCTTAAGTTCAGCTGGGAAAGGGAGTTGGGATAGAGATCCAAGTTCATGASCTCCAGAATCTGCTTCTATATCTGCCAGCCCAGTTGCTCCCYATATATCTGCATTCACCTATGGGCTGGAGAGCTGCTAGGCAGATGATCCCATTAATATTTCTGAAGTCAGGTGTTGTAATCTTTGAGACCTTTGATAATTTATTACCATCTTTTCATCCAGTCTTGACAATACCAGAAATCCAGCCCCCTTCAGCCACCTGCACACTCCAGGCATCCTCTGATACCCCAGCCCACAGCCACACATCCCTCAGAACACACATGCACTGCTTCTGTAACTGCCACCTARCTATTGTCTTGTCCTTGCCCACACACCAGAACTGTCACTATCTACCACTCCACATCCTTCCTGGTCGCTGCCAGAGGCAGGGAGTGTTAACCATAAGCCGAAGTTTGTGTTCATATACAAATTGTATGCAAAGGTGCAGATTGTTTCCTTATGTTATTTGCATATTTCTAACTAGTTTCCACAGAGAAGSACATGCAGCTGTACGGGCTCAGGTTCCATGTAATAACTTTCATGTGGTGCTAGGATTAAAACAGAATTGAAAACAAAGATTTCTTACCAATACAGGTGTCCTGTTGACCTTTAGTGTCCCAAATATTCTCTGCAACAGAGATTTGACAGTAGTTGTGCTGGTCCTTATCTGTCCCAATATCTTATCATGAGTCAAAGATACAAAAATGAAGACTCGGTATCCTACATTATTGCACAGCCAGGGTGCACACTTCTAAAGTTAAAACATGATTCCAGCACATGCTTTCTGAGCCTTCCGTGAAGTAACTTAAGACACTGTCTCTACAACTATAGGGCATCCTGCCAGTCTGCTTCCAACAAAGGCTTTTCTTTGAAAACGACTGTCCTTCCAGCCTCCAAACTTAGTTTGATCCCTTTTTTCAAATGTTAAAAATTCCAGTAAATCTTAATTATGTACATTTAGGGTTTTTTTTTTAGTTTCAGGTAGTAACAATTCCCATTTCTCACACCTGAAAATTGTATTGCAAAGGTATTTCTTTTATCCTTCTTGTTGATGCTTTTTACATAAATCACCAGCTGGTTATCAGATAATAACTTTTTCATGTTTGAGTTTTTTTATGTTACCTCTCTTGATTTCAGTGGCTGTGATGCTTATTTCATTTGCTTGATAGTCAAATGTAACTTTGTTTCAAGATTTCAATATTAGTTCGAAACAGTTGTAAAAATATAAAGGTGAGTATAAAGATAAGCCAGATGGAGAAAAGACAAGGAAAAAGAACCCAAGGACAGCAATTTCTTACAGGAGCACAATTATTTAATATTATGGTCCTTAATACACTGTGATCATTCCTTGCCTCTTCTTAATTTTGAGATCTATGTAAATGTTTTAGGGAAGAGTGTTCAAGAAATAATAAGCTTTTGTCCTCAAACCCTAGCTTGCTATATCTCATTGCTACTTGTATGTGAATGCAAGGTTCATGAGAGGTGTTCATCTGATAGCAAAGTAGTCTGTAACTAAACATTATTCCTTCAGCAGCAATTAAAACACCAACAGAGAACCTTGTCAGTCTAGGTCCAGGAGCTCTGASTGAGGAATGACTAACTAGGTTACTTATGGCATTAATTTCCTTGCTGCTCACTGATATTATACATTGCTTAAGGTGTGTGCATTTAGAAGTGAACTAAGATCATCAGTCTCAATCCAGGTGGCAGCATTTCTGGTAGTGCTCTTTTTTTCTGCAGTCTCCTGGGCACTCCCAACCCCACCACTATGATTTTTTTTTTTTTTTTTTTTTTTTTTTTTTTTTTTTGTAATTGTAAGAATCAGTTAATAAAATAGGTAATAATTTCATCTTAGCCAAGTGGGAAGTCTTTCAATTATGTTATTTCTTCTTAAAGTTAAATTGCCATGCTTTGTAGTAGTTGAGTAGTCTTAGTTACAATATACTCAGTCTCTTTAAATATTGTGTCCTTTTAAACCTAAGTCAAGCAAGGCCTGGTCTGGGAAAAAAAAACCAGCATAATTCCAGATGTTTTACCACACTGCCAGGTGTGGGTGTTAAGTTCTAAAATACAGATATCATCAATGTCACTGAACACTTTTCCAGCTGGTAAATGATCTGACTAGATAAAAAGAACTGCTGACAGTAACTATATGTCTGTTTTTGTCTAAACTGATGCCATGTAGTCAGAAGCTGATTTAGATGTTAGAAAATAAAGAGTATTAATAAATTATTATTTTGTGCATATGGTAAATAGCAAGTGTCTCAAATTTTCCACAGTATGAATGAGCTTGTTAAATATATTTATTATTTCTTGGGGAATGGATCAATGCAGAACARGTTTCACATGTGAGTGATTTATGTCAAGACCTCACATAATTTCAACAGGATCTAGCTAAGCTAGATAGCAACTGATRGCAAACAGTAATGTACTGGCTATTCAGTCTGGAAAAGACTGGATAGTTTAACATAGAAACATTAAGACTGGAAAAGACCTTTGAGATTATTGAGTCCAAACCAATCATMAACCCAGCACTGCCAACTCCATCGCATTTGTKTTCCTCACAAGTAGGTAAACTTCCTGTTACAATAAGGAATAAAATATTTCAGTGACTTTACCTATGAATATASTTTCTGAAACACTTTGGTCACAATCCCAAATTCCCTTGTCATCCTGCTGCCTCCCTGCTGGCTCTCAGACTGCTTGTCATCTGCAGTGACCCAAATATTGGCCCAGAAAGGGAAGTTCAGTCTCTTCAAGAYGGGGAACTGCCTTGAACCACAAAGCTGGGAGAGGAGGAGTTCRAATTCAAGCGTGGTTGCCAAGCACTCACTTAAAAATCTACTGTCAATTGTTTTTATCCCTGAATGCAAATAATATATTATTACAACAGAGTGGCGTTCACTTCTAGTTGGTCGATGAAGTGTGTTGTTGATACAGTGATGAGAATCATCAGGAGCATAGGAAATTTCTTATATGAAGAGAGATTAAAAGGATTAAGAATTTGTTTTACAGAAAAAATGTAAGAAATGGAATATGACCTAAGTTTATACTAGGAGTGGCTCAGAAATAACCATTGGGGTTTTTTTCTCTTAATAACAGCTTGTCTCAATTTCCTTGAGACTGAGAGAAGGCAAATTTTAAACTGATAAAAAAGCAGACAATTTTCATTCAATACAGAATTAGACTAAAATTCATGGGCAAAAGAAATTATCACGACAAAAAAAATTAGCCGGATTTAAACAGTTTAGATCCTTGTGTAGGTGACAAGAATAGTTCAACATAATCACAATAAATATTTGAAGTCTATATAAAATTCCTCAAGGTGTTAAAATCTTCATGTTAGAGATTTCATCTACTTCTCTTGTTACAGGTGACAGGATAAACTGAAAGGAGCTACAGACCTAAGGAAGAGRCAAAAGAGAAGGCTGTCATTATGACTCATTTGAATATGATGCATGTGCCTGCACTAAAGCAATTTATAAAGACGCATATATATATTTATAGTGCATATAGGCAGCATTCTGTTTTTTGTGATTATATACATCAATTTATCAAGCACTTTTGAAAGTTTGTCATTGATCCTGGCTACTACCATAAACTATATCTTCACCACTATGTCTGTGATGAGGTGTATTTATTTATTGCGTATAGTAATGCAGTCAAGCTTTCAGTAACACCAGTGAGACCTTTTCCTACTGCTTCTGTAGGAAAAAAAATAAACTTAGATTCTGGGAAATATCTTTTGAGAAACATTACACAAGTATCCATAGCTGCAACTCAAAGCAGGGTGAATACAGTTTGAAAAGTCCCTCACTTTACTGGAYAGAGTAATTCATGACTCAAATCTGACTGGGACATTCCATCACTGAKCTCTTAATATAGACCTTAAATTAAAAACTAATGCTAACACATGCATGCTTCTGGGAGGCATAATAATATCTGTCTTGTTGGGAAGATGGCTTCCCAAATTTTGTTTTCTGTGTTCTGCACTTTTATATTTTTGGGACCTGCCTTTGGCAAACACAGCTATGTGTTCTGGGCCACTGACTCAGGGAAACCCTCTGTACTTGCCTCTCTCAGAAATACCTCCATGGTTGTCCTGAGTCACATTTCTTCACGCATGAGACTCAGA